ACTGTTCCTCTCCTTATACCTCTAATATATTTATCTTATGTTATACTAACATTGTTTGAACAAGTTTGATTCCAAAGCACAAACATGTATTGTGTTAGGATACTCTGAACGCTCAAAAGACTACAAAATATCTAACACTGAAACAAGTATTATAGAGAAATCAATTCATGTTAAGTTTGATGATAAGCTTGACTTTGACAAGTCAAAGCTAGTTGAAAATTTTGCATATTTGGAGGCTAATAATGTCAAACCCATATAAAACAAATATCAATCTACCATTATAAACTGTGTTATGCAAACGAATATCAATCTCCCGTTATAAACTATTGCGATGCAAATCTAGTGTTGCAAATATCCACCACCTCAATGTAACATAATGTTTGGGAGAACTAAGAAAGGCGAGATTTCAATTTTCAACAATCACAATTTACTTGTTCTAATGTATTTAAGGTATTTGCTTTGGATTAATTGCAGTTTCATGCATTTTAATTTTGACCGGTTTTTAAATATTTAAATCGTGAATTATTATTTTTTTATCAATATAAAATAATAAATTTGATATAACACATTACAAATTAATATTACAAAACCACAAACAAATGAAATGTTTAAAATAAATAAATAAAAAGTGTTAAAACAAATTAAATATATTATTGCAATGCATCACTTCTGTTATGTCCAGCTGAATCCGTACGAGGTGCTGAACAATCAGAACCAGAATTTTCATATGGGCGTGAGTGATGTTTCTTTAATTACTTGAAAGGGCTCGGTTCAACCAATAAAATTTGTTTCGACATAAATATTATATAGTTTCTCAATATGAGTACAAAAACTTTAAACACCCTCATTTATAAAACTGAGGCAGCACAGATTGTTCCATACGTTGTACTACTTATGTCAGAAGGATCCGTATATTGTGACTAAAAAAAATGATGAATTTCATATAGAGGTCTAAACACGACTAACAGAAGTAGGAAAAACAGAGAAAATTCCTATTTATTATTATAACAACACTAGAACAAATTTGTAAAAACAAAACCATAACCATAGTACTTGTGTCCCAGAGAGAATTCCTATTTATTATTATAACAACACTAACCATACTGTAATAAAATACATCTGTAACAAGTCTATCTAAAGTTTCCCATTAGAAACATATTGAATCCAAGAGGATGATGGTTTTTGCCTGGCTTCAATGACTGCAACTGGAGCTGTCTATGTCGAATATCCAACATTTGCTTGATCGAAACATAGCTCAATACCTGAGGAGTGGCTTGAACATTTGATGCAACGCCCCCAATATCAATGTGTCTGAACACACCAGTTTCAGGGCAAAAAGAGACCAGACATTGGGAATGTAAATGTGAATCAGAATCAGCTCTGAGCCACATATCTCCACAATTGTTGAATCCAATTGGTCTGTGCTTGTCCTGTGGACTCAATCCACAGTAAGACTTTATATCTATACTGAATGCCTTTCTCCATGACTCTTTCACGCCATAATTCTCCATCAACCATGTCTCAAATTTCGCACCCTCCATCACATAGCACAGACACAAACAACCTTTTAACACACCAACACTGATTCCTGAGATCTTACTCACATATTCCTCGTCCAAGTGAGACGGTGGTGGCACGGAACCGAATGTGTTGCTGTTGAGATCAAACAAACATATCAATTCAGAACTGGTACCCTCAGTGACCCAGTGAATGGCACCGTTGAATGAAGGATCAAAGGAACAATTTTTGGACCTAGGTTTTGCAGAGGGAGCGTTCGGAATCACAGTCCATGTGCTAACCCTTGAATCAGATTGGTACATTTCAGCCACCATTTGATCCGATTTCGAAACAAGCTGAATAATTTTGAAATTCTTCTTTTTGGGATCAAACCCGAAAGCGGAAAAACGGAGATTTTCATCTGCAGCACTTAGGGCAGGAGGAACAGGAAGAACCTCACCCAACAAAGGATTACATACATAATAAAGAGAGCGAGAGTGATAATTAGAAGCGCGTAAACACAAAAGCCCGTTGCTAGAATTGATCAAATTCATACGCCGATTGATATGAAACGTAACAAACCTGGTTCTTCTGTTAACCGATCGTTGTTGCGCGAGATGAATTGGGGTTCCGGTGGCGGTTGTGGTGTTTTTGCTGCGCTTTGAATCGGATGAATAAGACGGTTGCAATTGCATGGCCATACAAGACGATCCATGATAGGAATTGGGAACGGATTGAATTTGAGTATCAGATGAATCGATACAGGTGAGAGAATTGTGATCGGAGAGAACGACGAAGGAAATAGGGGCTTTAGAGAAATAGGATTGTTGAAAGGAAGTATCGGAAACGATGGATTTGAATCTGGAACAAACGGAAGAGCATCGAATTAGGGTTACAGCAGGTAGTTTGAGCATGATATCGAAGAGGATGTGATGTGGAATGTCGAGGATGTGAAACCCTAGGTCTGGTTCACTACCCCTTCTCACCATTTTCGTTTTCGGTTCCAATTACTATCAACACCCCCTTTTTGTTTCTCTCTCTAGTACAACTTTGGAGTAAGAGTTAACACGTTTTTATAAAATGTCTACTCTTTCTCACATTTCTTGTTATTGTTTGTTATTCTAAGCCTTCTCTAATCCAATTTATAGACCAGCTCAAGTTAACTTAAATGTTTAAATAATTAAATATTTTACTCATTATCAATATTCATAGAAATTACATGTATGATTTATCATGAATTTTATTTATTAAATATTTTTATACTAATAATCTATTAAAATAAGATTTAATAAAAAAATATTACTATATTGACTGTTTTTTGTATTTTATTATAAGTAGAAATATTTAATCTCAAAATATTAAGAAAATTCATTTAATAATTTTATTTTTATTTGGCTAAAATTTAAATTTATTTTGTAACTCATATATATATATATATATATATATATATATATATATATATATATATATATATATATATATATATATATATATATATATATATATATATATATATATATATATATATATATATATATATATATATATATATATATATCAAAAATATTATTTATAATGAATTTTCTATATATAACTATGGTAGTGAATTGTTTCATGGTCAAAATGTTAGAAATATTTAATATCAAAATGCTAAGAAAATTCATCTAATAATTTTATTTTTATTTTGACTGAAATTTAATTTAATTTTGTAACTCATACAAATATTATTTTTTATCAAAAATTTGATTTATAATAAACTTTCTATATGTAAATATGATTGTAAATTCTTTCATGGTCAAAATATTAGAAATATTTAATATTAAAATATTATAAAATTCATTTAATAATTTTAATTGTTTGACTAAAATTTAATTTAATTTTGTAAGTCATGCAAATATATTTTTTTTCTCTAAAATTTGATTTATGATAAATTTTCTATATATAAATATGATAATAAATTATTTTATGAGGGCCAAATAGTTTCTAGAATATAACATTTATATTTTTAAATATCAAACATGAAAAATATTACTAAATATAATATTTGAATATTGATTGTTTTAGTATTTTTTATATTATAAATAGAAATGTTTAATCTCGAAATATTAAGAAAATTCATTTAATAAATTTATTTTTCCTTGAATAAATTTTAATTAATTTTGCAACTCATACAAATATATATACTTTCTCAAAAAATGTTATTTATGGTCATTTTCTATATATAAATATGAGAATTAATTGTTGAATGAGGGGGTCAAAATATTATAAATATTTAATATCAAAATATTGTGAAAATTAATTTATAATTTTATTTTTATTTTGACTGAAATTTAATTTAATTTTGTAACTCATACAAGTATTTTTTTCTCAAAAATATAATTTATGATAAGTTTTCTATATATAAATATAATAATAAATTGTTTCATGAGAGTCATTGTTATAATATAACTTTTTTTGTTTTTTAAATATCAAAAAGGAGAAATTCTTATTAATAAAGTGATATTAATAATTATTTTATTATATTTATATGAGATTTAAATTTCGTCTCTTAAAATCATAAAATTAAGCTCTAATTTCCAAACTTACATATAAATTAAAATTACATTAATTTAAGAATATTTAAAGAATGATAATTATTAAAATTGAGAATGTAATTTCTCAAGTCACTATTATTTTGAGAAAAATAATGGCAACCAATTTTGGTCAATGTTTTAGAAAAAGTAATAGGTTTTGAATTATTTATTGCTAGAGTTTTTACGTATATCTTTAGTTTAATTAGTTTAATGTATTTGATCTATATTTGAGGTCAAATTCAAATACAACAAATATATTCGCTATACAGATATTCTTTCGGTAATAATTTATAAATAAAAATTTGATATTTGATATTTATTAAGAAAATTTAAATTTATCTCTTTTTTTAAATATATTTTATAGAAATATGTACAAATAATTTTAATTGTTTGTTGTTTATGAAAATAATGGTAGAGAAAGCAAATTAAAGATAATTTGTATTTTATTTTATTTTTAAAAAATATTTATATTTAATAAAATATTTAAATGAAATAAAGTACATGTTTTTTATTTAATGTTTACGATAAAAAAGTGTATGGTTTTTTCTTATAGATTGTTACAAAGGAAGTAAATCTCAAAATAAAAAATTTGTGTATACTCCTTCTGTCTTACATAAGTTTTTAATTTTTAATTTTTTTATTTTTTTCAAATTATTTATTTATTTTTCACTAAATTTTAAATTTGCATTTTAATTAAATATTATTTATACTCCCTCTGTCTCACATAAAATTAAATATTTATTTATATTCCTTCTGTCTCACATAAAATTAAATATTTATAATTTTTTCACTAAATTTTATTTTTGCATTTTAATTTATATAACTAGTTCACTACATATTATTAATAATATTATTTTAATAATAATTATAAATTTGAGTTTTGCTTATGTCTTGCTTTTTTTCTCAAGCGGAGATCAGAAGTCTGTGGAAATGTTGATGGAGGTTTTTGAAACTTTTTCCAAGTCTACACGGCTGAAAATTAATCCTGCTAAGTGCAAAGTTTTCTTTGGCCATGTTGGTGATGTTAACAAGCAAAGGATTCAAGAAATCACTAATTTTGATGAAGGTAAGCTCCCTTTTAGGTATCTTGGCATACCCCTTACTAGTAAGAAGCTTAATATCAACCTTTATATGCCTCTGATTGACAAGATAATGGCTAGAATTAACCACTGGAGCTCTAGACTTTTGTCCATAGCTGGTAGAACCCAATTGACCAATAGTGTCTTGTTTGCCCTAACAAACTATTAGCTTCAATGTTTGCCTCTGCCTAAAAAGTTCTAGCCAAGATTGATGATATATGCAGGTCCTTTATGTGGTCTGGCTCTGAAAAAATTACTAGGAAATCACCCATTGTCTGGAAGAAAGTTTGTTTCCCCAAAAAGCATGAAGGCCTGAGCATTATAGACATCGGTAATTGGAACATTTCTTGTCTTGCTAAGCTACTCTGGAACTTGTGTAAAAAGTATGATAGCATGTGGATCAAATGGATCCACTGCTTCTATGTCAAAAATCAAGACATATTGACAATGGACGTGAAAACTAATTCTTCTTGGATAATGAAAGATATTCTAAAGGTCAGGCCCACGATTACTACCTTGTCTGTCTGGAACTCTTTTATGCAAGTTGGGAACTTTGTCACTAGGAAACTTTATGCTATTCTGGCTAACAACCATCAAATTGTGAATCGGAGAAAAGTCTTCTATAACAACCCTGTTAGGCCTCGTGCAATGATTACTCTTTGGATGGCATGTGGCTCTAGACTGGCTACAAAAGATAGGCTCAAAAATTTTGGCATGATCAGGGATGATGTATGTTGCTTCTGTAATGAAAGGGAATGTCAAAATCATCTCTTTTTTCAATGCAAAGAAATGGAACTGGTTTGGCATAACATTTTAGAGTGGATGCAACTTGTCCATAGGTCGGGTTGTTGGAGTGATGAGTTGAATTAGGTCATGAAGATGAGCAATTCGAAAAGCCCCACTAGTAGCATTCTCAAATGTGCCTTGGCTGAAACCCTCTATGAATTATGGAGGTGTAGAAATGAAGTTTGTTTTGGAAAGGCTAACAGCATGAATGTGATTGGTCCTAGGATCATAAATATCATTGTCAATAGATGTTAGATGAGAACCAACCTTAGGAAGTCCATAGGCCAATTGCTAATGCCTTAAATGGTTTTTGTTTCCTCCTTGTTTTTTGTTATCTTTCGGCTTTGTTGGATCTCTTTTAGAGATCACTTGTATTGTATCGCTTTTTTGGTTAATAAAATATTTTTTATCCAAAAGAAATTATTTTAGTAAATAATTCTCGTTTTACTATAGAATCGCCACAATTAATCATTATCTTAAAAAATAGAAGAAGAAGAAAAAAATATGAGGGGATTCTAATATGAGACGTAATAGTGAATAATAAAGTATATTTTACTAAAACTAATTTGTGATTTAGATAAAATTTAGAAAGGGTCCGCTCACGTGAGGTGAGAAGTTATGTGGATTTTGGGGGTATTTTTGCATATGTTGTAACACCCCAAATATATCTCGCGCATTTAATTGAAAATCAGGGTGAATTCAAACATTTCATATTTAGGACGTCACACAATTCAACACAATTAGCTGCTCATATATTAAAATATGTAACACATGCAAATATTTACAAATGATTTAAAATCACCAAAACAACTCCACATGTCTTAATTTCAAAACTTTATTGAAATAGCGGAAGCATCAACATAAATAGTTATTCAAAGCATAATTATTCTTCAAAATAACATCAACAATAGTTATTCTAGAGATATCCAAAAATCTTTATCAAACTCAGCATAACACAGTATTCTCTGACCTCGGTGTTACACATCAGAACGGACGCCAACACTAAAGGAAAAATAGAATACTTCATCTTCTACTTGTTTCAACTCCTCTACTGTGAGTTATCTGCACGATGCCCATGTAAAAACAACATTCAAACAGATGAGGCGAGATGTCATAAATAGATAAAGGAAAGTATGATAATAAGGCAAGCATTAGATTTCTCATGCACAAACACCCATTCCACAACATACAACTCTACAACAGCAGTTACAACCGACATGACAACAAATCCAACACAACAACAACAAAACACAACAATAATGCAATGCATTAAGACTCACACTCGACTCAATGCATTTGATACCATCGATCCCTATTTCAGAATCCGAACCCTATTTAAGGATCACAATTCCCGTCGAAATTTCCATAATGTCACTCACACCCCACATGGGCACACGACTCCCGTGATCGCTCACACCCCACATGGGCACAAAATCACCTCAACAACAACAACTATACGATTCCGCAATCGGAATCTATATAAGACGCTTACACCCCACATGAGCACACAACTTATCTCACAACTCACGCAACTATTAAATTCATGACAACAACAACAACAACAACCATGTAACAATGTAACATGGCACTACATGCCAGCAACGACGAAATTCTATACAGTCCACCAACAACGACGTACAACATAGCAAGCATCCAGAAGGCATTTAGAATCATATCACACCACAACAAAATGATAATTATGTGTTTAATACAACTAACCACAGAATTATTCAACTTCTTCCACCAAAAATATTTTTATATAAATTTTTGACATGTCAGCTTCCCAAAGCTTCGAACGGAACTCGAATCGGACTCTCGGAAGAAAAGTTATGAATTTTAGAAAAAATTCAACAAAACAACAGTGTAACTGGTTACGCAAAATGTGGTAATCGGTTACACCTGCGTAACCAGTCTACCAGTACCACAGCCACTGGCGTAATCGATTACCACAAAACCCGTAATCAATTATGCATTTGAAAAAGACCAAAGATGCAGTTTTTAGCCGGCGTAATCGATTACCATAAAACCCGAAATCGATTACACCTTCGAAAAACCCAAAATACAGTTTTTTAGGCAGCGTAACAAATTACGCCCAAAACGATAATCGATTACACTGCAACTAGAATCACTTTTTCAGTAGCTTATTATACAAAATCACTTTTGAACCCTCCCAAAACTTCATTTTTCTTATAAACCGTTTGGAACATGTTTTAACACGAAAAACACTTTTCTAAAGTCCCAAACCCCAAATCATTTTCATCAAAAATTGCTCATGACTTTGTTCCGACTCTGACTCGTGATTACAACAACCAACAACAACGACATCAATCAACCATCGAGTAACGAATCAACAACAACAACAACAACAACAATTGCATCAATTTCATCAACAACAACAGTCTCAACATCAACGGAAAAATAAATTCAACAAATACCATTAAATCGAAATTACGAACAACAAGGAGAGAAATACAAAACCTACATGATAGAATCTACCCGCCATGATTATCATACTAACCCTTAGCTAGTTAGAACCCCACATTTACCTTAGAGTTCTTGCGATTATTTCCTCTTCCTCAACAATAGAGTTCTTCTCTCTTCTCCTGGGCCCTAACCTTTCTTCTCTTCTTTCTTACTTTATCTTAATTTTCACGATCCGACAAAACTCCCCTTAACTCCCCTTTTTTCTATTATATTATTATTATTATTATAATTAATATTTCACAAATTAATTAATAATAATAATATTATCTAATTATTTAAATTAATAATATTCAACTAATATTATTTTAATATTCACTCTCACCACACCACCAAGTTCTAAGCAATTGGTCATACACCCCTTACCCTGAGAGTCTATAATTTTAAGGTCACTACGCAACAACACATAAATAAATTATGGCAAACAAATAAAATAAGTCGGGGCATTACAACTCTCCCCTACTTAGAATATTTTCGTCCTCGAAAATTTACCTGATCAAAATAACACAGGATATCCTTCACGCATCCTCCTCTCCAACTCCCAAGTCATAATTCCACTGGCAGTACCTCCCCACACCACCTTCACGAGAGCAATCTATTTGCCTCTCAGTTGCTTCACCTCACGGTCTTCAATCCTCACAGGCAAAGCCTCAAATGTATTTTTATCCCTTACCTGAACATCATTCATCAGAATTACATGCGATGGATCTGGAACATACTTCCGAAGTTGTGAAACGAACACTTCATGCAAATTCGACAAATTTGGCGGTAATGCCACTATATAAGAAACAACTCCAACTCTTGTTGATATATGATATGGACCAATAAACCGAGGAGTAAGCTTCCTCGACTTCAAAGCACGTCCGACACCAGTCACCAGAGTGACTCTCAAGAATACATGGTCTTCTTCTTGGAACTCAAGATCCTTCCTCCTCTTATCATGCTAATTTTTCTGCCTACTTTGCGAAGCTTTCATATTCTCCCAAATCAACTTCACCTTTTCAGTAGTTTGTTGAACAATCTCAGGTCTAAGTATCATACTCTCCCCAGATTCATGCCAACACATAGGTGTCCTACACCTCCGACCATACAAAGCTTCAAAAGGTGTCATTCCAATACTAGAATGATAATTGTTATTATAAGTGAACTCAATCAACAACAAATGACTATCCCAAGCATCTCATTGCTTAAGAACACAAGCCCTCAACAAATCCTCTAAAGATTAAATAGTCCTCTCTGTCTAACCATCTGTCTGTGGATGATAAGTTGAACTCAACCTCAGCTTCAAACCCAAAGCCTCTTGCAAACTCTCCTAAAATCTGGAAGTAAACCGCAAATATCTATCAGACACAATGCTTAATGGAATTCCATGAAGCTTAACAATTAGACGGATATAAATCTTCGCCAACTTCTGCAAAGAAAAATTGATGTTAATCGGAATAAAATGCGCCGACTTCGCCATTCTATCAACGATCACCCAAATGGCATCATGCCCTATCGGAGTATTCGACAACTCAGTCACGAAATCCATAGAAATATTGTCCCACTTACACTCTGGAATATCCAACGACTGCATCAGCCCTGCAGGTTTCTGATGTTCATCTTTGACTTCTGGAAAGTCAAACAAGCATACACAAACTGAGCCATATCACACTTCAATCCAGGAAACCAAAATATCTTCTTTAGATCCTGATACATCTTTGTAGTTCCTGGATGGATACTCAAACTACTCTTATGACTTTCCTCTAGGATCATTCTTTTCAACTCAGAATCATCCGGAGTACAAAATCCTGTCATGAAACGTCAGCTCACCTTGCTCATCCACTTTAAAGTCACCATCCTCAATCTGACTACTTCCAACCATCAAGTCCACTAACTTCATATCCAAATTATGACTCTCTTTGATATTATTAAGAAAATCATTGTTGATCTTCAACATACCCAACATCACATTCTGCGATGTCAACTCACATACCAAACTTAAGTCTCTAAACTGCTCAATCAATTTAACTCTCTCATAATCATATAAAACATATGCAAAGACTTTCTACTCAAGGCATCGGCCACAATATTAGATTTACCGGGATGATTGTTCAAGCCAAAGTCATAGTCCTTCAAAAAATTTAACCATCTTCTATGTCTCATATTCAATTCTTTCTGATCAAATAGATACTTCAAGCTCTTATGATCAATATAAACCTCGAATTTGGAACCATAGAGATAATGCCTCCAAATCTTCAACATAAAAACAACCGCAACTAACTCTAAATCATGAGTAGAATAATTTCTCTCATGAACCCTCAGTTGTCCGAAGCATAAGCCACAACCTTTCCATCTTGCATTAGCATACCACATAAACTCATCAAGGACACATCATAATACACCACAAACAGTTCATCTGGTCCAGGTAGAATCAAAACTGGAGCTGTAGTCAACCTTTTCTTCAGCTTAATAAAATTCTTCTCACAATGAATATCCCACACAAAAGCTTTACCTTTGCAAGTCAACTGAGTCAGCGGAAGTTCTAACATAGAAAAGACTTCAATAAACCTGTGATAATAACCGGTCAAGCCCAAAAAGCTTCTAACATCTGTAACCGACTT